TCTGTTTCTTCTCTCTGCCTGCCAGCCCCGCCTATCCTTCCTCCTGCCTCACTGTTGGCTGTTCAGCTCTTTATTAGGCCAATCAGGTGTTTCAGACAGCTTCACAGAGTTAAACAAATGCAACACAAAAGAATGCAACACATCTTTGCATCATTAAAACAAATGTTCCACAGCATAAACAAATGTAACACATCTTAAAATATTATTCCACAACACATTTCTGTCAAACTAAGGAGTCTGATCCTCCCCCCCCCCCCCCCCCCCCCCCCCCGCCGCTACTAGAAGATTGTTTAAAGAGAAGCCACAGGTAGATCAGGTCAGCTGGGGAACTACGTCAGGGATTCCAGATTAAAATAATATTCATACTAGAGAAAGAAAACAGGTTAAAAGGTTTGAGGGCATGAAATGAGAATGGCAGTGAATGGGGAACTGTTTCAACCCTGGCATAACTCTGAAGCTTCTAGGACTAGATATGTTTCTGAAGTTAGAATCTAGCACAGAGTGGGAAGGGGTTCAGGAGCCTCCACCCCTAACTGAGGAACTATTGACAGCTGCTGGCTTCAAGAGGAGGAAGAATGAGTTTTCTTTAAAGATTGACTCCTGGTAGATCGCCCCTGTTCCAGTGGATGGCTCCACACCCATGAGTGTATGGGGTTTGCAAAAATTGGAGTGAGAAGTTATGGGTGGATTTGGACCTTGGTGTGTGTGTGTGTGTGTGTGTGTGTGTGTGTGTGTGTGTGTGTGTGTGTGTGTGTAATCAAAAAACAGCATATGAAATTCTCAAAGAGAACATTGATCTGGTGCACTTACTCTGTTATAAGAACAGTGCATGATAATCCACTATGTTTATTTTTGTAGCAGAATGTGAGTGGACACCCAAGTGGGATGGAGAATATAAATAGCCCCACATTAGATTAGATCAGAGGCTACCAAGTGGGGTGCTGTTTTCTTATCAAATGAGTTTAGAAAAGTATTTTTCAGTGTGTTTTGGATTAGAAATGGCAATGAAGGGATTGCACGTGTGTGGTGTCCACACTGAGGACATTTTGGAGGTTTCATGCACTTGGTGTATGTTGAAGTTTGTAGCTTGCCAGTGTGTGGAGCTGATTCCTTCCTTGTGTTGTCCTTTGCTGGTTTCACTGGTGTGGATGGTAATGGGGAGGTGGACTATCATGATCTGAAAGCATGAAGGAAGATTATCTTGGTGTTTATTTTGTTGTATAGCTGGTACTGTTCTCAGTGCACTGTGGGTTATCTCATCCAGTTCTTTTTTTTTTTTTTGTTTTTTTTTGTTTTTTCGAGACAGGGTCTCTCTGTGTAGCTTTGCGCCTTTCCTGGATCTCGCTCTGTAGACCAGGCTGGCCTCGAACTCACAGATATCCACCTGGCTCTGCCTCCCGAGTGCTGGGATTAAAGGCGTGCGCCACCACCGCCCGGCTCTCATCCAGTTCTTAAAGCAACTTGCTGAGGTATTCCATGATGGTTTCCATCTTAGAGATGAGAAAATTGAGTCTTAGAGATGTGGAAAAACACAGAAGCATTGCTTCTTGGTTGTCTGGCTTTATATATATCTGCTGTGTCCTTCTTAAGATGCCTGAAATGACAGAGTAGTGCTCCCGGGAGGAGCTTGTCCACCCAGCCAAGGCCTGAACTGGACCATACCTCCAGACATGGCAACTGCTGTAGAGTGCATTACTCGTGGTCAGTGTGTGTTCACACACTACTAACAGCCAGATATAGCTGAATATCCTGCCCTGGAGAATTTGTGGGAAAATGACATAGGGAATCTTGATGAGTCTCAGTGGAGAGGCAGATAGGTCTTCAGCGGGATTGATTGCGTTCTTCCTGGTAAAACAAGCCAGTGCTGTTGCAGAGTTCCTAGGGAAGGGCTGGGCTAGGGCAGGAAGGAACCCAGAGCCAGAGAGAGCTCTTCCCAAGAAGCCATCCAGCCACTCTGAAATTTGTAGACTTGCTAACAATCCTGCTGACAGACAATCCAGGCTTGCTTTGGTCTGTATGCTAGTAGGTGCATTACACCTAGTTCAACATCTAGAGAAAATGAAAAGTCATTTGAAGGTGTAAAGTCACTTGAAGGTGATTTCTTGAGGTTTTACCACCAGCCTGAAAACTTACAGGTAGGTCTGAAGTGTCTCATTGACAATTCAAGGACTGTCCACTCCCCTGTTCCAGAAGACAGCACTTAATGAAGTTTAATCTCTCTGTCTTTTTCCCACCTTTTGTATCAAAGACCTTTTTCTTCTTAGTCACTTAGTTAGAAAGTTAGCAGGAAGATGGCGGTACCCTGAAATCCTGGCCTTTGGAATACAGGGAAAGTTTCAACACTGACCACATTTTGAAGGGGAGTGAAGGAGAACCCGATAATTGGTACATTTCTCACCTCTCCCAAGAAAGGATTGTAATGAAGTAGGGATATAATGTCACAGCTGAGTGGAAATGACCTAAGGTTTCTATGAATACTGGCA